CAAACCCTAAGAACGCCTATCAACCCGCAAGACGGAACCCTAAACCCAAGGTCCGAACGCTGGCCCCGAAATTTTCCCCACCGGTTTCCTGGGTCCTACTTGCGCGTCCCTAGTTGGACTTCTAGGGTTTTGTTGTGTATGTAATAGGCATATGACTGTACCTAAATACCTAACTTAAATACCTGTATATCTATTATTGCAGGTTCTTACATTGGGAAGCCCCGCCAGCCGAGGCGGGCGCGCGCTAGCGTTTACAATTACCCATATTACCCCCAATATCCCTTGTCAATGCGGAGGCCTTGGGCGGCCTCCACGCGCAGATCTTGCCAAATGCATTAAAAAGTCCGAAGAAGCATCATGATGATAAAGGGTTGCTTCCTCATTTCTCTTCTCCCCAGTCGTGCTGTTCACTCCGCAGCAGCCGGCATTCTCAGGTGGTGCACTCTAGGACTCGAGCAATGGATAAGGGTAGCGGAGGCCTTGGCCGGCCTCCACGCATGGATCTTGCCAAATGCTGTAAAGAAGAAGTTCAGGACAATAAGTGATGCCAGGAACCCAACCAAGCTTCGAAAGGATTGCGTGGAGTGCTTGGCCAAATTCAGAAAAATGGGTTGGCCACCCCTCTCCAGGCCTCGAGGGCCCAGGGTCCAGGAATCCCGCCGCCGCCAGGGGGCCTGACCTGCAGGGGGGCCTCCTGAAGCCTCCAGGAAAAAAACAGGCTTGACCCTCCGTGCCAGTCCGGAGGCCTGTCCCCAAGGCTCGAGCACCCGTTTATCTGGTCAGCGGCGCTCTCGCCAGTTTCGGGTTTAGTGTTTAGGGTTGAGGGTTTAGGGTACGTAGCAGTTACCATTTCATTTCCCACTATCCCAACATGTCCCAATATTTCCCCCTAACCTATATAACCCTAAATCCCCTGAACCCCTAGCCCGGGGGCCCGAGCCCCCAAACCCTGAAGCCTTGAGACTGCCCAGGGAGCCCTTTACCCCTTGATGAAGGAATATACCCTAAATGTTAGGATTTGGGGCTTAGGGTTTAGGGTTTGGGGTCCAGATCCCCTAATGAAGGTATATACTCTAAATGGTAGAATGCCCAATGCCCCTTAATTAAGGAATGTACTCTACATGGTACTAGGGTCCCTAACATGATTTGAGCCATATTCCTTAATTAAGGGTCATTGGGCACCCTGGGTGCCCTCTCCTAGCAACGCGCCTTGGTTCGTGCCAGCCACACGCGCATGGCCATACCGGAAACCAAGCATTCTGCGAAGGATCTAGAAATTCCTGGGTTGCTGTTAAGGAACTTAAATTAAGTTACCATAATGGGTTTATATAGTAAATACTAGGGTTTCCCCAATATAGTAACTTAATTCAAGTTCCTTAGCAGCAACCGAGTTAGTTGACTGTCAAGGGTCGAGCTTTCGGCTCCTGCGGGCTGCCTACGGTTGCCCTTTTGGAGATGGGAGCGTTGAGGCTCGGTATGCGGCTAACGTCTGGGCAGGGATCAGGTCTCTGCAGTTTGAGGTTTCCAACGGCAAACCATTGAAAACAGAGCTGCCGCTGACCATCGAACCATAATCTTGGTGGTAAGCAGAAGGTGCACAGTCGCGAGACCAAAGAGCAGAAAGGTTAACACAATCACAACTGGTACTGGAGACACCATGCAGCGAGGCAACGCAAAGTACCAGATTGAACAACTTAGAAGCCCTTAACCTTGATCAAGAAGCCCTAAACCAAAGCCCGAAGAAATGCACTCTAAGCCCCAAGCCCTATCTAAGCCTTAAGCCCTACCTCTAAACCCTCAGCCAGGTGGTTCCAGCTCCTCAGTCCCCTGCTGTCTTCCTGCTGTGTATACATACATACATACATACATACATACATACATACATACATATATACATACATACATATATACATGCATACATACATACATACATACATACATACATACATACACACATACATACATACATA